TTTGCTATAAGCGTTCCGGATAGTACTACTCGCTATAGGCCTTCCGGGTAGTACTTAGTATAAGTACTTAGTCTTAGATTGGACTTAGACTTACTTTATATATTCCGGACAAGACTTTCTGTAGGCGTTTCGGATTAGATTATTAGACTTGCTATACGCGTTCCGGTTTATATAGGACGAACTATACTAAGCGTTTAAAATAAGGCTTGTCCTACGCGTTCCGGATAGTACTACTCGCTATAGATATCTTAGATAGTTACCGCTATAGGCGTTTCGAGTATTACTACTCGCTATAGGCGTTTTTAGTAGTATTCACTATAAGCGTTTCGGATATAACTTGCTCTAAGTATTATAAATAGTACTTACTATAGGTATTTTAGAAAGTACTACTTACTATAAGCGTTCGTAATAGTACTTACTATTACCGTTCTAAATTAGACCTACTATACGCGTTCCGGATAGTACTTACTCTACGCGTTCCGGATAAGACTTAGTATAAGCGTTTCGGATTAGAATTACTATATAGCGCGTTCTAAATAAAACTTAGTATAGGCGTTATAGATAGTAGTACTAACAGGTAGCGCTCCGGATTAGACTTACTATACGCCTTCTTAATAGTACTTAGTATTGTAAGCGTTCTAAATTAGACCTATTATAGGCGTTATAGATGATAGTTAGCTTATCCTACGCGTTCCGGATAGTACTACTCGCTATAGATATTCTATAGAGTACTCGTAGTAGGCGTTATATAGGCCCTATAGGGTATTCGCTATAAATAGTTCGAATGCTATTTAACTATAGGCGTTTTAGATAGTATTTGCTATAAGCGTTCCGGATAGTACTACTCGCTATAGGCCTTCCGGATAGTGCTTAGTATAAGTATTTAGTTTCGGATTAGACTTAGTCTTACTTTATACATTCCGGATAAGACTTTCTATAAGCGTTTCGGATTAGACTTGCGTATAGTATACGCCTTCCGGTTTATATCGGACTAACTATACTAAGCGTTTAAAACAAGGCTTGTCCTACGCGTTCTATATAGTACTACTCGCTATAGGTATTCTATAGAGTACTCGCTATAGGCGTCTTTAGTAGTATTTTCTATAGGTGTTTCGGATATAACTTGCTATAGGTATTCTAAATAGCACTTACTATAGGTATTTTAGATAGTCCTGCTTGCTATAGGCGTTCTTAGTAGTACCTGCTATTAGCGTTCCGAATTAGACTTACTATACGCGTTCCGGATAGTATCTACTCTACGCGTTTCGGATAAGACTTAGTATAGGCGTTTCGGATTAGAATTGCTATATAGCGCGTTCTAAATAGAACTTGGTATAAGCGTTATAGATAGTAGTACTAACTATTAGCGCTCCGGATTAGACTTGCTATACGCGTTCCGAATAGTACTTACTAAGTTACTATTATAAACGTTCTAAATCAGACTTTCTATAGGCGTTATAGATAGTAGTTAGCTTGTCCTACGCGTTCCGGATAGTACTACTCGCTATAGGTATTCTATAGAGTACTCGCTATAGGCGTTTTATAGGGTACTTACGGCCCCTTTAGGCTTACTACGGCTTAAAATAAGCTAAAAGCCGACTCTACTTAGCTATAGCCGAGGAACTTTAAAATTTCTTAGTTTACGAGCGGTTCGGAGATTATAGGAGTCGTAGTATATAGTTCGTAAGCGGTTCGGAGATTGTAGGAGTCGTAGTATATATCGTAAGGCTACGATAGTATTATTTCCGATACTATATCGGTCGTTTATACCTAATCCGGCGGTATTTGCTCGAGGCGGTATACTCGAAAGGCTTAGCCTACGCGTTTCGGATAGTACTACTCGCTATAGATATTCTATAGAGTACTCGCTATAGATATTCTATAGAGTACTCGCTATAGGCGCTTTATAAGGTACTCGCAGTAGGCGTTATATAAGGTACTCGCTATAAGTAGTTCGAATACTATTTAGTAACTATAGGCGTTTTAGATAGTATCTACTATAAGCGTTCCGGAAAGTACTACTCGCTAAAGATATCTCGGATAATTATCGCTATAGGCGTTTCGAATATTACTACTCGCTATAAGCGTTTTTAGCAGTATTTGCTATAGGCGTTTCGGGCGTTTTGGATTAGACTTACTATAGGTATTCTAAATAGCATTTGCTATAGGTATTTTAGATAGTACTACTTGCTTTAAGCGTTCTTAGTAGTACTTACTATTAGCGTTCCGAATTAGACTTGCTATATACGTTCCGGATAGTACTTACTCTACGCGTTCCGGATAAGACTTAGTATAAGCGTTTCGGATTAGAATTGCTATATAGCGCGTTCTAAATAGAACTTAGTATAGGCGTTTTAGATAGTAGTGCTAACTGTTAGCGCTCTGGATTAGACTTACTATACGCGTTCCGAATAGTACTTACTATTATAAGTGCTCTAAGTTAGCCTTACTATAGGCGTTGTTAGTATCAGTTAGCTTATTCTACGCGTTCCGGATAGTACTGCTCGCTATAGATATTCTATAGAGTACTCGCTATAGGCGTTCTATAGGGTACTTAGAGTAGGCGTTATATAGGGTACTCGCTATAGATAGTTCGAATGCTGTTTAACTATAGGCGTTTTAGATAGTACTTACTATAAGCGTTTCGGATAGTGCTACTCGCTATAGTCTTAGCCTATAGGCCTTCCGGATAGTGCTTAATATAAGTATTTAGTTTCGGATTAGACTTAGACTTAATTTATACATTCCGGATAAGACTTTCTATAAGCGTTTTAGATTAGACTTAGTATACGCGTTCCGGTTTATATAGGACTAACTATACTAAGCGTTTAAAATAAGGCTTGTCCTACCGACTCCTACGCGTTCCGTATAGTACTACTCGCTATAGGTGTTCTATAGAGTGCTCGCTATAGGCGTTTTATAAGGTACTCGTAGTAGGCGTTATATAGGGTGTCCGCTAAAAGTAGTTCTAATGCTATTTACTATAGCCTATAGGCGTTTTAGATAGTATTTGCTATAGGCGTTCCGGATAGTGCTACTCGCTATAGATATCTCGGATAGTTACCGCTATAAGCGTTTCGAATAATACTACTCGCTATAAGCGTTTTTAGTAGCATTTACTATAGGCGTTTCAGATATAACTTGCTATAAGTATTCTAAATAGTACTTACTATAGGTATTTTAGAAAGTCCTACTTGCTATAGGCGTTCTTAGTAGTACTTACTATTAGCGTTCTATATTAGACTTACTATACGCGTTTCGGATAGTACTTACTATACGCGTTCCGGATAAGACTTAGTATAGGCGATCCGTATTAGAGTTACTATATAGCGCGTTCTAAATAAAACTTAGTATAGGCGTTATAGATAGTAGTACTAACTGTTAGCGCTCCGGATTAGACTTACTATACGCGTTCCGAATAGTACTTAGTATTATAAGCGTTCCAAATTAGAATTCCTATAGTTGTTTTCGATTAAAGTTGCTATAAGCGTTTTGAATTAGACTTACTATACGCCTTGTAGGCAGTACTTGCTATAAGTGTTCCGACTCGGAAAGAACTACTTACTATAGATATTTCGAATAGTACTCGCTATAGGTATTCCGGATAGCAATTACTATAGGCGCATTCCGGCTCGCTATAGGCGTTTTTTAGGGCACTCGTAGTAGGCGTTATATAGGGTACTTGCTATAAATAGTTCGAATACTATTTAGCTATAGGCGTTTTAGATAGTATTTGCTATAAGCGTTCCGGATAGTACTACTCGCTTTAGGCCTTCCGGGTAGTACCTAATATAAGTATTTAGTTTCGGATTAGACTTAGACTTACTATATATATTCCGGATAAGACTTTCTATAAGCGTTTTAAATTAGACTTGCTATACGCGTTCTAGCCTATATAGGACTAACTATACTAAGCGTTTAAAATAAGGCTTATCCTACGCGTTCCGGATAGTACTACTCGCTATAGGTATTCTATAGAGTACTCGCTATAGGCGTTTTATAAGGTACTCGTAGTAGGCGTTGTATAGGGTACTTAGCGCTCGCTATAAGCAGTTCGAATACCTATAAGCGTTTCGGATTAGACTTGCTATACGCGTTCCGGTTTATATAGAACTAACTATACTAAGCGTTTAAAATAAGGCTTGTCCTACGCGTTCCGGATAGTACTACTCGCTATAGATATCTTAGATAGTTACCGCTATAGGCGTTTCGAATATTACTACTCGCTATAGGCGTTTTTAGTAGTATTTACTATAAGCGTTTCGGATATAACTTGCTATAAGTATTCTAAATAGTACTTACTATAGGTATTTTAGAAAGTACTACTTACTATAAGCGTTCGTAATAGTACTTACTATTACCGTTCCGAATTAGACCTACTATACGCGTTCCGGATAGTACTTACTCTACGCGTTCCAGATAAGACTTAGTATAAGCGTTTCGGATTAGAATTACTATATAGCGCGTTCTAAATAAAACTTAGTATAGGCGTTATAGATAGTAGTACTAACTATTAGCGCTCCGGATTAGACTTACTATACGCGTTCCGAATAGTACTTAGTATTATAAGCGTTCTAAATAAGAATCCCTATAAGTGTTTTAGATTAAAATTACTATAGGCGTTTTAGATTAGACTTAGTATCCGCCTTATAGGTAGTACTTAGTATCCGCCTTATAGGTAGTACTTACTATAAGCGTTCTAACTCGGAAAGAACTACTTACTATAGATATTTCGAATAGTACTCGCTATAGGTATTCCGGATAGTAATTACTATAGGCATATTCCGGAAGTAGTTACTATAGATATTTAAGACTATCTTGCTATAAGCGTTCCTAATAGTGCTCGCTATAAGCGTTTCTAAATAGTGCTTTCTAATATCTATAACGCGTTCCGGATTAATATTACTTTTTAGTATTAGCGTTTTAGACATAACTTACTATACGCGTTTTAGATTAGGCCTACTATAGGCGTCTAGATAAGACTTTAGCTACTCGTCGCCTTAGGCTTCTCGTGTGGCTCTTCGAGCCACATAAGCCCTAGTTTAGCATGTGACAGAGCAAGGAAGAGGCTGAGGAGACAGAGCTGGGATCTAGCATGTTACTAGAGGCGCAGATCTCTGTCGTAGCCGCAAGATTGAGTTAATGACTCGCAAGATTCAGTTATTGAAATTAACGATCTTGTCCTGGCGTGGGCACAGCTCCGTGTCGACATGTTTTTTTTTTCTCCCAAGCACGTGGCAGCTTCGTCGTAGACGGGATGCTCGGTGTCCAAAAGATTTTGGCGGCGTCGTCGCTGGTCACTTTCAGCTGGTGATGGGGGCGGAAGCGTGTCGTTCGGATACTGTGGTCATTTGTAGTGTTGCAGTAGCCAGAGAAGGCCGGGAATCTCGGCCATGGCTATTCGGTCCGTCTCGATCATCTCGCTAGCTGTGAGCTGTAAATAACACGGTAGGGATAGCAATGAAGAAGCTCGCAGGTCATTCGTCGTTGGTGAGAAATCACGCAAAGCAGGGCAACAGTGTGGCTTCGTGCTGGCAGGGCAGGCGCGGCGGGATGAGTCGGTGACGTGGATTGAGTTCAAGCAGGGAGACAATCGTCAAGCCACTCGGCGGAGCTAGTTCCGTGCACTTCACCTGCACTTCCATCCAGGGCACGCAACTTGTCTCCACTTCTTCGTCGGCGACGCCATTCACCCGTCTATCCCGATAAAAATAAGCAGCCCGGCACGATGACCTGATACCCTGAGTCGGGGTGCACGGCAGCGACTCCATTGGCGTCCAGAACGCTCTGCTGCTGCGTGCGACACACCAACATTCTTCACCCGTGCAGCGTCAAGTGCCGAGCGGTCTAGACGCTCTCAGGCACCGCCGCACCAAGCAATGGCCCATGGGATGCCGTATCAGCCACGTTTTCCTCCACGCAATCGAGGCATCGTCGCGGGCTCCGAGGCATCGGGATTGGCCATGACAATTGCTGACAATTGCTGGTTGTTTTTGCAGTTCCTGAGGCCGCGTTCTGTTCTACATACAGCCATTGGGCGGCGGCAGCGGCAGCGGCAGCGACAGCGGCATCGGCAGCGGCTTGCTTGCGGCATTGGACGGTGCGGAGAGCGTGCGGAGAGGGGGGGGGTGCCTTGCTGACAAAGTCGCTACGGACCTTCTCCTTGCGACTTCGTGCTGAGCTGAGCTGCATTGATTCCCGAGCAGGCGAATGAAGGCGAATAGGGCGAATAATGGCCTCCCTCGCGGCTCCCCGGCCCGGCCCTCGGCTGTCGCGGGGCCTGTGGCTCAACCCCCCTCCCTGGTCCTGACTGACTAGCGCGGTGGCGTGCCCGGTGCATCTCGAATTCAAGCTCGAGCTGCAGCGAGGACAGACCGTTTCGTGCCACCCTTACTTGCATCGGTGGCAACGCCGCGCCGCTCCACCACCTCGACCTCGCCCTCGCTCTCGCCCTCGCCCTTCCACTTCGTCAAACAAGCATCTTGCCTGCCGTACCAGCTGTGCAGTAGTGCATCGCTGGCTCGCTGGACGCCATGCATAGCACAGCGACGCCTCTGCAAGTCTAGTCACTGCCTACGCATTTGCGTCCATAATGCCTACTGCTACGGCGCTACTCTCCGCCACGTCCACTTCACGTTCTAGCCCACCCAGGGAACTACACTGCCGCACGGATGAAGCTGCGTCTTCCTTCACTCAAATCTGGTCCGCAGAAAGATCGTCACACCACTGCTTGGCTAATAAACTCTCTGTGGCTTCTTCCGACGTCAATTCTTACCTTTATTACGCTTCCTGGAACCTCACCGTTGATGTGTGCTCGGTACCATGAGTGCCCACGACCCAGTTGCGACCCAGTCGCAGGATGAACACAATCACCTCATCTCCCAGAACCCCCCTCAGTCCCGTCAGCAACAAAGGCATGTCTCTCATTTCACCTTCTCCGACACTTGCTGTTGATCTGACTGTCGAAACAGTGCACCGTTTCAATCCCAATTAGAGTACCTTTCGCAGAACCAAAATCAACTCCCCCAAAATTTGGGTCAATTTGGGCAGCCGTTTGAGATGGGCTCCCTGGCCGGAGCACTTCCACCTGTCCAGTCAGGCATGACAGGGAGAACATATGGAAATGTCGACCCGACTCAAGGTCTTTCTTCGCCCACCAATCCCTATCAGACGCATCAAGTCATGGCATTTCCAGCACAGAGGAGTCCGCATTATCCAGACCCTGCTTTGCTGGCGAGGATGCAGCAGCAACAGTTTCTAGGTGGGCATTATGCTGCTGGTCCAAGTCCTGTTCAGAGGCAGCAGCCCTTTCCGCTGCAGCCTCAGATGCCATATTCACCACTCGATCCGTACGGCTATGGGCTCAGTCCCACGCAATTCTCGCCCATTGACCCTCGATTCGGACCACAGGCAGCATTCATGATGCCGGGTATGCCAGCAGATCCAGGTAAAATTTCATGTTCGCTCGCCACACTTCCTTCAATTGACTCTGCTGCAGCACAGTTCGCAAGGCACGGCTCCGCAGATGCAGCACCTATTCCCAACTTTCCCCGAGGTCCTCCGCGAAAACCGAAACAGTCTGGCCATGCACTCTGGGTCGGCAACTTGCCTCCTGCTGCTCAAGTGATGCATCTCAAAGACCACTTTTCGCGCGACGCGACGAACGACATCGAGAGCGTGTTCCTCATCGCGAAAAGCAACTGTGCCTTCGTCAACTACAAGACCGATGCGGCGTGCACAGCTGCCATGCATCGCTTCCACGACTCGCGATTTCACGGCGTTCGACTTGTCTGCAGACTAAGACGCGGCACTGCATCAAGCTCTCCTGTGCCGGCCGGCGAGGAAAGTACTGACTCGCCGCCTGGAGACTCACCTTCAGCAACGGATAGCATCACGGAAGACTCTCTTGGTCCTACGATCGCGCGCAGTCACTCTGGTCAAGGTGGTGTAGAGGGTACATCCGGGGATCCTCCAAGTTTGTCGACCGGGGCTGTACCTCCACCGCCTGGCGAGAAGGTGCTAGAAAAGTACTTCATCGTCAAGAGCCTTACAGCACAGGATCTTGAGGCAAGTGTGCGAAATGGCACGTGGGCTACACAGTCACATAATGAAGATGGGCTCAATAAGGCATATGATCAGGCTGAAAATGTGTACCTCATTTTCTCCGCGAATAAATCAGGAGAATACTTCGGCTACGCTAGGATGGCTTCCATCATTTCCGGAGAGCCTATCAGTCTGTCCGCAATGCCGGCTTTGGAGCAAGTTGGAACCGATCCCGCGGTATCTCCACAATCCATCCCAACACCAGCAACCTCGACAGCTCCCAGGGGACGAATCATCGACGATAGTGCACGTGGGACAATCTTCTGGGAGGCTGACCACTCGGAGGACGATGGCTCACCGACTAGGGACGGAGCGTCAGGGCAGAACTGGGGACGACAGTTCAAAATCGAATGGCAATCAACAAGCCGCTTACCATTCTACAGGACGAGAGGCCTTCGGAACCCATGGAACGCAAATCGAGAAGTCAAGATTGCCCGCGACGGAACAGAACTAGAGCCAAGTGTTGGAAGACGTCTCATTTCCATGTTCCATAGGCCTTCCCCTTCCCCGTCCGCCGCTCCGAACTCGGCTCCTTTCCGATAACCACAGATCTAACAACGCCACGCGCCCTTTACACAACATTTGCCACCCCCCACCCCGACACTCATCAGTACCAACTCAAATCTTTAAAGCATGGCGAGCGTTGGTCATGAACTACGAATACTTTGCATTGCATTGCATTGGGAGGAGAATCGCACGCATAATAACGGTCATTTTTGGCATGAGTGAAGCTAAGCCAAGGCTTGGCAAGGAACGATGGGGATGGAAGCGGAGGCAGATGATACCCAACATCAAAGAAAGCGGAACGCTTCAACGGCAGGTACGGTACGGGTTGTAGCAGCACGCCATTCCTTGTTCTCCTTTGGTCGCTTTCTTGTTTATTCAGGTTCATCGCATCTCAGGTTTGTAATCTTAGGTATCAGTCAAACGCTTTGATTGAGAGTCAAAAGGTCGGCGGGATTGTTGTCTGGATAGGTTTTTACTGGCTTAACCGGATAACTTTTCAAATACCAATCCACAACGTTACCAAAGACTCAATTTTGACCACACCATTCATAAGAATCAAAATTTGGCTTGCAAAATTTTTGCACCTCCCCTTTTCTTCCTAATATAGTATCGATGACTGCTTCTAGTTCTCCTCACACTGCACTGCCCACAAGAGCTTGGTTTCGCAATCTAACAGATTCACCTATTAAAATGACTCCTCACGATCAGACGGCAAGAAGTGTACCTTGTACGCACAGTATCTTCAATACAACCGCCATTACATCGACATCGCCAAGGTAATTCACAGCACATCAGATCAAACGAACAAGCATTTTCTCACCCGCCGCATCTTGCGTGTTAAGTCATTAAAATTATCCTCATCATGCGACTTCGTGTGGCTCGTCCATGATTTCCCAGCTATAATACATATTCATCCTCTCATAAACTAGTATCGGCAATCCTCCTTGACAGCAAAAACATATTTTCATCCATCATCAACCACATCCATCCATCCCTCCAACCCTTCTCTCCTCACTCCTCCATCTTATCAGTAGTCACGGCAACCTGGAACTGCTGCGCAGTGACGCTATACCCCTGTTCAATCCTCCCATAACACCCCTCCAACTCCCTCTCCACATTTTTCTTTTCTTGCAGCAATTCCCGAAGACGGAGGAGGTGTGGGTGCCGGAGATGACGACTGTACTCAAGAATTAGAAAAAGACGCCTGAAGATTTGTTGGTTGTTGGCAAACGTACACTTTCTTTTCATACGCCTTTCGAGAAATTTGCATGTTTTTTTGGATTTTTTGGAGGCGGTGGTGGTGAGACTTTTCGATTTCGAGAGAGCGGATTTGGATGCGTTTTGCGTTCTGGAGGAAAGGGAAAGTAAGCTGGCGGAAGGAAGGAAGGAAGGAAGGAAGATATTGAATGTTTGATTGTGCGAATTGGTACTTGGGCTCTCGTCTTACCTGTTGCTTGATTTCATCGAGAAATTTATTCGCTTTTTCTATGTCTATTGGAACTTCTTGTGATTGCGACTGCGACTGGGATTGAGAGGTGTTGTGAGGGCTTGGAGAAGGTTCTTCTGCTTCTTCTTCTTCTTCTTCATCATCATCGCTGGGTGGTGGGGGGACGATTTTGGTGGGTTTCTTTTGGCGGGTTGGTGCCATGGTGTCGCTTGTGTTGAACAATGCGTGGAGGAGGTGTTGTTGTTGCCGCTGACGTTGTTTGTCTGGCCAATGTTGTCGGGAAAGAGCTACTTTGTACTTAGGCCACGTGAGCGCCAAGCCCTGTCTGTCTACATCCTGGGCAAACGACGCATCACATGAAGAAGTGTATTCATTTTAGCCTTTGTCTGGTTTTGATAAAGCCTTATGTTTTCGCCTCATTTCACAGTGTTCGGGAAGCCAACAGTCTTCTCAACACAGTTTCATCCATGCTCCGACATTGTGAGGCTGAGCTGGATGCCTGAGGAGACCAGAGACCCTTGCTCGGGATTACCTCAACACAAACGGCGCTTGCGCAAGAAGTTCCTGGGTATCTCTTCCCAGTTTACTTTACCATACCCTCCACCGTGGGAATCGCGAACCTCTGCTCTGTTTAAGCAACTTTCTACCTTCCCTCCTACCCCAGACCCTTCTACACTGGACTATGCGGGTTGCTTGATTGCCCAGCAGCTCCGGCGCATTTCATATCACTGCTTATACCCTCGTTTCCAGCCTGACCTTACACCCGAACTGGATTCGGAAAAATCATTGGCCCATAGCAATTGCGCAGGATCGCATAAGATTGGGTAGCGGAGCGGTGGAGCGGAGGATCTGGGCCAAAATGACTTCGTTTGCCAACTCATTTTGGTCTTCGGACTATGCTGGAGGTAAGCTATGCCGCGTAAGTGCAGAGTATAGGCGCTAAGCAACCACAGGCCTCGGCGTACTCTTTCAGAAACTTCAGCAGGGCGTCCAAGAGAATGAGCAGTTACTCACTGTTGCGCGAATGCGCGCAGAGGCAGAGGACACGTACGGACAAAAGTTGGCAGATATCGAAGGAGCTACGAATCGAATAGATGGCGGCTTTCAAAGAGATGATGGCGCCAGCGTCAAAAAGGCCTACGAAGGCGTGCGCACTGAAATGGCTGCAGAGGCGCGGAGTCATAAGAAGATTGCTTCGAACATTCGAGAGCTAGTGGTGAACCCATTTGGCCGCTGGTGTGATCAACACGCTGCGCGCGTTCAGAATAGTCAAGACGATCTACAAGGTCGAATCAAGGCCCACGACAGGCAGGCGGAGACCGTCCGACAGTATCGGAGCGCGTACTACAACAAATGCCGACGTGTGGAGGACTTGGACGAGGAAGAGAAGCTGGCCTTTCAAGATCCCAATTCTGCAGCCGCAGCTGCTAATGGTTCGCCGAAGGTCGGACCTGGAGCGCCGCAGAATGTTCCCAGCATCAAGATTGGCGAAGAGCCGGAAGAGCCAGAGCCGATTGAAATTGGAGACCAGACCTACACGCCGGAGCAAGTGAAGAAGATTCTCACTCACGTCCTGGAGAACATCCCTCTCCGAGATACCAAGGTCCCCATCATGGGTACCTACCCAAACACGAGTACTGGCGCAGACATTACAGAATACATCCAGAAGCACCTGCATGCGAATAGTATTGCTTATGCAGAGCGCATCGGGCAAGATATGATCACGCACGGCTTTCTGCGCCTTGTAGGCAATGTTGGCAACAGCTTTTTCAACAGCAGCAAAACCAATTACCAGTGGAAAACGAAAGTGTTCCAGATTACTGGCATTCCTGAGAAGCGGGGTCCTCTCAACCGAACCTCCACCATGATGTCTGCCGGCTCTAGCGACTCGGTGCCTGGTAGTCCCGTCATTGGTGATCGTGTCAGCGAGTATCTTGGAGGCTGGAACCCGCTCAACAATGCGCATCCTAATGAGACACCAGGGGAAAAGCTACGCAGAGAAGCTCGGGAGGCTGATGAGCGTTACAAAGCTGCTGTCCGCAAGCTAGACGGCCTCCGGTGTAGCCTCGAAGAAGCCATGATTGAGCACATGAGGTTCATGGAACGTTGCGAGCTTGACCGACTCAAAGCCATCAAAAGTGTTGTGCTCGACTTCAGTGGCGCTGTCAGCAATGTGATCCCCGCACTGCAGTCATCAGTGGACAACATGATGCTGTTTCAGGAGACTGTGCAGCCACAAAGCGATCTCCGATACTTGCTCGAGAATTACCGCACCGGCCAATACATTCCCAAGGTCACGGTGTACGAGAACTACTACAACAAGGTCGATGAGCAGACTTTTGGCATTGATATTGAAGCACGAGCTCGCGCTGACCGAAAACGAGTGCCACTCATCATCACCACGATATTGACATTCCTGGACTCGCATTACCCCGATTTGGAAGGCGATGAGGCGCGTCGCAGCATCTGGACCATAGATGTGCCACTCGGCGCGCAGCACCACCTGCGAAGCCAGCTCAACACTGGGAAGCCCGTCTCCCAGGAGGTGCTTGAAAAGTACGAGGTGCCAATAGTGGCTGCAGTGCTGAAGCTGTACCTGTTAGAGCTGCCCGACAGCCTTGTCAGCTCGCACGTGTACGAGATCATCAAGACTATATACACGAGTACTGCACAATCTGCGTCGGACGCAACGAGAGTACAGGTGATCCAGTCGACTCTCGGCCAGCTCCGTCTTGCAAACATAGCCACTTTGGATGCGCTGGTAACGCACTTTACTAGATTGATTGAGCTTACGAGCGCAGACGATGCATACGTTGCACAGCTTGCAGGCATCCTGGCTCCCTGCATTATGCGACCGAAGCAGCAGACTGGCCTGACCATGAATGAGAAGTACAACGTGCGACTTCTCCGCGATCTTTTCGCACACAAAGATGCTATCTTTGGGGAGCTCAAGCGTCAGTCAAGCCTGTCACACACCAACTCGGGCTCCACAAGACAGACTCGTGCTATCAGCACCGACGAGTCGAGACGCAAAGCGCACATGGAAGAGCGCCAACGTGCTATTGCAGCTGCACAGCAGGCACAAGCCGGTGGCACCAGAAGTCGAAACCCGAGCCCGGATACCAATACCAGAGTGCCGCTTACAGCCGGACATCGCAGAGACCGCAGCCGTGGACCGGAGACCAGATTTCCGGTGAGTACCACTGCTGCTCAGCAAAACGCACGTGTCATGTCACCAACGGGCGCCTCAGCCACGTCCAGCAACCGGGATAGCTTGAACATTCCACAAAGTCCATCTGCAACCCGACTGCCGCCTACTTCGCCCCAAGACACTCCTGAGAGGACCAACGGCACCTTCCATCAACCTCCACCCGCTGAAGACTATACGCCACGAGAACGAAGTGCCACAGAAACGGCTAAGCGCATTTCTGGCCACGTCTCCGCCTCGATCAACTCACCAAGCGATTTCATGAACCCCAGCCACTTCTACAGCAGTAGCGTAGATTCCACGCCAGCCCACACAGCTTCTTCCACCGTGCTTACATCCCAACCATCGACAGCAAGCACCATCAGCATCAAGCCTCCTGCTTCAAAATACCGCGTCACCAACCCGGACGACTCGTCCCCCGCCACCACAGAAGGCACTCCTACCAAGAAAGACAGCTTGTCCCGCATTCGTGGCGTCACTGCTAGACGAGGTACGGGCGGATTGAGAAGGCAGAGTTTAGTTAACAAGCATGAGAGTATCGAAGGTGCGGATCTCGTCGACTCTCCCGAGGCGAGCAGTAAGGGTGTGCAGCTGGAAGATAAACCTATGGATTTCGACTAGGAGTGGGATGAAAGTAGGGTGGATTTCAGTCATGCTTTGCCAAAGGCTACGGCAGCGTGAATTTGGGGAGGAGGAGGGTGTTTGGGTGGGACTACCGCTTGTTTTTGTGTCTTTGGCGATCATAGCGACTATGCAGATGCAATGGAATGCATGACTGAGAAGTGGGTATGGGTATGGTTATGGATATGGATGTGTGTGTATAGATATTACGAGGTGAGGATTTGATAGAAAGGTTTTATCTCTGAAATGTCTTTTCGGGGAAGAATTGGTATCTACGCTCGCGGTCATTTGGGTCTGAGTGGTGAGGCTTTGGGGGTTGGTTGCTGCTTGTCTGGTGTAGGCGCATGAGATGCTTCCGGTGTGTGGGTCGTGATAAAGCCGGGATCATCGCTCGTGGAATGTGAGGTTTTTGCTTGTGGCCGCCATCGCGTCTCCAGAATTTGGGGAGGAGTTGGGATGTTTCGAGTGTCTTGCCTTTTCACTTCTTTCATTTCGTCTTTTTTTTTGTGGTGCACAGGGCGTCGAAGTTTGCTTGCCTTCTCGATAGGTTTATAATATAATGCCTATTGTTTTTGTCGGTTAGATGATTCTAGATCGTTATTATTTTTATTATTATTATAGTACGACTCTCTACATATATAGTCGAACTAATATTATAGTTAGGACTACCTCTTTTCTCTATATCTTGCCTTAGGCAATCGCAAGGTCGGTTATTGCTAGATCGAGAGGGTATCGTTATCGTTGTGCTAGCGCGACGTTATAGAGTCGTAAAACTACCTCCGTTTAGGCCTTTATATATTAAGGATTACGTTCCGCGGTAGTAAATTAGTTAGATTGCACGTAATAGATTTAAATAAATTAGGGCTAGCTTCTATCTTTCCGAATAACTAATTATACACTACTCTACCTAATCCTTCGCCTAAAGGCCTAAAGCTAAACCGCTAATTTTTATCGTAGATTCCGCTATTAAAATACGATCTCGCTATACTAACGACAACTAGCAAATCCAATATAAGGAGGTTGTAGCCCTACTAATTGCGAGTCTAACGATCCAAAAATCTCGTATATACGACGTGTGCGCGCTAAGTTACACTAATTCAGCCGAGCCTACTTCTATAGCTGTCCGCCTATCTAAACATACCGATTCTTAATATATCGCTATATACTAAGTTAATACCTAGAGGTCCTTAATTAGGGCTATCCGACTAACTTCTTCGCTATACGTACCTGCGCGCGACTTCTCGCTATCGAGTTCTCGTCTACGTCGGAAATAGCGGTAGTAATACCCCCCTTTATTTTTAACTAAACTAACTCGAGGCCCTTTAGAAAGTACTCGCGATCGACTTTCTTGCTATATACGAGTGCGTATAGCGTAGTAGTGCTAAGTTCTCGTTACTCTACCGATAGCATTTACTAGCGGCTTAGAAGCCTCTAGATATACTATCCCTAACATACCCGAAACACCTACGAGCTCGTAGACCTAGTATTCCTAACTAACTTTGTAGTAATAAGCAACCCCCTACGACTTCTTATTATTAAGATCTAGCTAAATAGCAAAGGCGACTTTAGCTAGCTAGCTAGCTAGCTACTCGAGTCGACTACTTCGAGCGCTAATAAACACTAGCACTAGCAGTACAAGCGATACTATAAGCGGCTCCGACTTAACTAATTAAGCTAACACTTCCGAGCTTAATCGTCGTAGCGGAGATAATTAGCATAGCTCTTCTTATCTAATAGAAGCGCTACTAACATCTAAACTAGACCGTCGTCGCAAAGAAGATATCGGCCTACCGCCTCGACTAGACGATAAAGATAAGGAAATGCCTACTCCGGAAGACCTACCGCTACTAGGAGAGACTTCCGATATACTAGGCCCTTTATCCGATCTGCTAGGTCCTATATTCGCTAGTGCATTCGCCGGTCTAGTACTCGATAAAGATCGCCGCCGCTAGCGCTAGTACTATAGCGACTACTATAACTCTAAGAATATACTAGGCGATAAGGACCGCTTAGCTGCTCGCCGCTAGCCTGCTCGCCTTTAGCCTACTCGCCTTTAGCCTACTCGCCTTTAGCCTACTAAAGAGCGCGCTACTCCTCGCTGCCTACGAACCGCTAATCGTAACATTATATATAATTAGCTAGTTAATAATAGTCTAACTAAGGATAAGGATACTAATATAGATAAAGAGCTATAGAGCGAGGGCGAACTAGAGCGTAAGCGCCGTACTAGCAATGCCTCCGATAATAACGATTAGCCTGTTTAGCATCCTAGTAAGCGCAGCCTCGATAAGATAAACGACGAGGAAGAGGGCGAACTCGAGCCTACTAGCAATCGTAGTCCGCGCCGTATACTAAAGTAGAAGTACGCCCTCGCTATAAAGCACCTTACTTAGCTTAAATTACCGATAGAGAAGATGTTGTTTATATAGTTTAGTAATAAGGGCACTAAGACCTATCGTAAGCGGGTGCAGGCTATATAAGACATACTACCTAATAAGCATCTTATTAGTGCTGTCTAGCTGCGAGCTAAGGTTAAGAACTTAATTAGCAAGAAGTTCTTTAATGCGTATAAGCTAGAAGAGAGCCTTGCTATACTACGCCGCCTCTCCGAGATGCATAATGTAATCTATAGTATTATACCGAATTAGTACCGCCTGCTCGAGGACTTTATACTACCGAATACCCGTAAGGATACTATATAGCGAGTAATGTTATTCGAGGACAAGCGTAATATAATGCAGAAGCGTATCTATACAATTACGTATATAGTAGTATATTCGATAGCGATAAAGCGAGCCTCCTAGATGCTAAAGTCGCTTAGTCTGCTCTTAGTATATATTAGCAATCTACTAGCTCCGCTTATCGACACCCTATATAGTATAGGTCTGCTTCCTTCGTATAGGACTATTTAGGCGTTAATTAAGAAGAATGCTAACACCTAGCGGCTAAGGATCCTCGAGTAGGCAAAGCTATACATTTAGTAGCTCTGCTACGATAACTTTAACCGCTAGGCAAAGCGCAAGGATTAAGACATTACAGACAATAATAAACAGGTTAATATTACTAATTCGTATATCGCCCTATATAATAATCTTCTAGAGGGCGGCTTAATATAGGACATGCTAGACCGGTCCAAGCTAGTACTAACTAAGAACATTATCTATAACATCGATAATAATAATACTATCGAGGCAGTCGAGATGTACTAGCTCTACGAAGCCTGTATATATATATTCGGTAATGCGATTAAGGCGGTATTTAAAGCAGCTAAGGATAGAGGCTATCTAGTCTAGTAGCTAGAGTATCCGGAAATCGACTGCAGCTTTAAAGGCAAGACCTAGTTGCTAGCTATGCCTCTATTATAGAACGACGAGATCTCTAATAAGGGCACTGCCTTAGTGCACGACGACATCTACTAAAGCAACCTTAGCCTAAAGCCTAATAATCCGATATTCGACAATCGATTGATTATTAACGTTAGTAATTAGCTTACGATCGAGCGCATACTGTCTATAATCTTTAGCGGTGTCGAGAACAAGGCGGTATACGATAAGAAGTAGCATGTCCTTCTAGTGCCTGCTTAGTTCCACATCTTTATAAACCTATGCTTTACGCCTTTCCGCACCTACTAGAACAAGAATAAGGCTAGTAAACGCTTAGACTTCTCTCTATTATCTAATGTTAACTTCTAGGGCATAAAGGAGGTTAATCCTAAATTACTAAAGTTCTTCCGTATACAGAGACTACTTAAGCGTTGTTTTAATGCTCGAGTTATCGCTATACTGCTCTAGATTATAGTTAACCGTAGCTATATTACCGAGGACATTGTTAGAATAGGCTAAGGTAATCAAACTCGCCCCGAGGTTGTTAAGTAGGCCATTATCGAGAAGATTACTACCGCTAAGTATATAGACATCTTAAAGGAAATGCATAAGCTGCTCTTATCGCTAGAGGCATAGGATAGTATGCCTAATCGACTAGCTACTACTACCGACGGCGCGGCACTAAATAGACTAGATACGGCCTTTACTTCGATATATAGACTACTAAAAGAGATCTCCTTGTTTATGCGTGTTCGCTATGCCGTCCGTATATAGGATATCGGTCATCTCCGTCGGTACGTAGATTATACTATTCTAATGTTCCTCGGTGCTAGATAGAGCAATTATAGCCGCCTAATAACCTACTTCCATTTCCTGTTAAATAAAGGTAGTATAGCGGAGCTATAGAAGGCAGTTCTCGCTACTAGAATAGTTAATTAATCTAGAAAGAAGGGCTATACTGTCGGTAGTAATAAGATGATTGAGCTAATTAACTACGCACTCTCGGAGGATTATAAGCGCCTTGCTAACTCGACTTATAGACTTGCTGCCGCCTTTAAGCGAGTATTAATAAATAGGGAGCTATCCCGTCTTATCCGGGATATGTTTAAGGAGAATTCTAGTGTCTATCGAACTAGCTATTATACCGAAAAGGATATTAGCGCAGGCGTGTTCAATCGAGCCGACAAGATCCGTATCGATAGCTTTACAAAGTAGCAGCATAGAAGCTTTACGCTATTAGACGATATCTAGAACATTAGCGCAGATTAGATACTAGCGGTCGTTAAGAACTTCAATGCTACTAATTAGAACTTTATACGAGGCCGTACTACTATACTGCAATCCGATGCCTTAGACGGTCCTAATACTACGGAGCGCCTCGAGGGTATTAATTATAGTCTAATCGAGGAGGCAGTGCTTAATCTAGATCGAGACGATGTGTGGGTTTAGCTAGTAGATAGCACTGCTTAGCTCTTCGAGAGCGTTAAGAGCTAGGACCTAACTAGAGCTAGAGCTAGAGCTAGAGCTAGAGTTAAGGGAATAGATATAGGCCTTTTAGCACGTATAGGTAGCCTCGGCGATAACGGCGGTAGTAACTTCTAAAGCAATAGAGTATAGCATTCGATAGATATTAATGCGCGTAGCTTAATTAAGAATGTACTTTATAGTTCCTAACTAGTAGTATACGTAAATCTCCGTCTATCCGTATCTCTATCTATCTATCTATATAAGAACCTAAGCAAGTGAAGTCTCCTATCCTGCCTTAGCAAGCCTATGTGACAATTATGTAATGTTATTACGTGTAGTACGATGCAGCCGCGCTAGCGATAAGCTTGCTTAGCGTATGCGCGTAATGCTCGATTATACGTACGGATATACTCGGTAGCCGGCACGGCAGATATACTATCCGTGCTAGGCCTAGTTAATAGTAGTCGCTCTGCCCTGTTCTAAGAAAGGCACGGTTTAGTTCTACTTTCTACTACGGCGATTAGTAGAGGGTGTTCTATACGTTGCTATATACCTATTTTCTTATAGTTCTAAACCGTCTACCCTTCGTAGCGGCCTATAGAACCCCGAAAGATAAACGTAAGCGATCCGAACGCGCCGAGCGCGGGAAACGCGTAGAATAATGCATTAGGAGCGCCTATAGTATTAGAAAACGACGCGGCGACATAATAATACGAGGCCGAATATTAGGCGCGCCGGGAAGCGACCTACCTACGGCTCGAACGATTTCTAGCTAAGTAAGAAGTGCTTAGGCTAGAAGTCTAGGCTTAAGAAGCTAAGCGAGAGAATGCGCGTCTTCGTACCCTTAGGGACGTAGGCGATGCGCTAGCTCCGAGTAGCGGTACCGCCGGCGAGGGTCCTACGATAACCCTATCTCTAAGCGACGACGACGATAAGGACGAGGAAGAATTAGCTAACGAGTCGATTTAGAGGCCTGAATCTTAGAGAGCTGAATCTGTCTCGTATCGACTACCTCTTTCCGGAAGTACGCTAAGCGTAGCCCCTATGCCTAGTATAAGCTACGCAGTCGCTAGTCTTGCGGCTATTAAGCCTCGCCTAAAGGAACCTAAGCCCTTTAAAGGCGATACGATTAAGGAGTCGAGGCGATTCCTTCGAGAACTTTCTATTACCTTTATACTATCCGGAGCTACCTATTATACGGACGAGAGCAAGGTGCTTTATAGTGTTATATACCTCGTAGGCGATACGCAGGAGCGATAGTATAATAAAAATAGCCTTAAGGACCTACAGAATTACACCTACTAGGACTTTAAAACCTTCTATCGGGACTACGTCGAGGACCCTATAAACCGTATACTAGACGTAACCCTCGAGTATAAGGCGGCCCGTTAGCGTAAGGGACAGTTAGTCTAAAGCTTTGCCCTTAAGCTCGTAGTGCTCGAAAATCAACTTAGCGACTATAGCGAGGAGTATAGGATCCGCTATCTCCTCGTTAAACTCTAGCCGGCGATTCGTAGCGCAATTATTAAATACTATGCGGTGCTAACGACGCGTTACGAACTCGTAGAGCTTACGACGCGTATCGAGACCCCTAATAAGCCGTCTAGTAAACGTAAGGATCGTAACTACGATAAAACCGGAGGTAGCAAAGGCAAGAAGCGTCGATCTAATAGTTAGGCCCGTAAGTAGCAGTTAAATCGCGACCGTAGCGTAGGCGGAAAGTATGCGAAGGGCGATAACTCGTAAGGCGGGTATAATATTAGCAAGGTCGAATGTTATAGCTATCGCTAGAAAGGCTATTATAAGAACGCGTACCCGAACCGCTATCTCTAGAAAGACGACAACCCTACGGTGCGTAAGGTAGCCGCTAACGCTAAAGAGAAGAAGAACGACTCGAAGGCTAAGGGAAAAGACAAGGCACTTCCTAAGAGCTAGGGATAGGTACGGAATCTCAACTAAGTAGCTTAGTAGTAGTAGTACCTACGGGACGCGTACGTAGAGCAATCGTTACGTAAGAAGGGGAAGTATCTATCGAATGCTTATTAGATAATGCTACTAACATTAATATAGTATCTTAAGAATTCGTTCTACGATACTAGCCTTAGCGGATTATCAATGCCGTACTACCTAGCGCCGATAGTTTCTAGGGCGACCGAGGATACTACTACGGAGCGTATTATCTACGCTTGCGGATCGCCGACTCTATAGGCTAAGAACGCATTACTACCGGAGTGTTCTATGCTTTCGAAATGCCCCTCCCTAATATTATTCTTAGTAGGCCTTAAAGGCGCGATTAAAAGGTAATCGTCGATAGCTCGACGGATGCCTAGACCTATAGGAACGAAGCCGTAGCGCGTTCGATACGCGTACGGGAACTATAGGAATTCTAGAAGGATATACGTAACGCCCTATACGTATATGCGATTAGCGTTCGCTAGCTCCGCGATATCGCTAAAGGTTCCTCCTTACTAGAAGAATTTAAAGACTTCGAAGACGTTTTTACAATAATGCCCGAAGCGCGACGTAAGCTCCCTAAAGACGTAGAGTATACAATTAACCTAATCCCCGGAACGAAGCCGCTATATAAACCTCTCTACTATTCTTTAGGAAGAGAGCTTAGCGACCTTCGTAATTACCTAAGCTTAGCCTTAGATAACGATTGGATCTAGCTTAGTATAAGCGAGGCGGGTACGCCGATCCTATTCGTACTAAAGAAGGATAGCAGTCTAAGACTCTACGTCGATTATAGGGGGCTAAACGAGATTACTATTAAAAATCGTTACCCCCTGCCTCTTATTAGCGAAACGCTTAATAGGCTTAAGGACGCCGAATAGTATACGTTCTTAGACCTCTAGGATGTATATTACTATATCTATATTAAGCGGGGCGACGAGTAGAAGACTGCGTTCCGTACGCGGTACGGGCACTTCGAGTACAAGGTAATGCCTTTTAGGCTTACTAATGCTCCTACTACGTTTTAAGAATACATTAATAGGGCGTTAGCTAGCCTAGTTAATATTTGCTATATCGTCTACCTTAACGATATCCTCGTCTATAGCAAAACGCGAGAGGACTACGTACGAGACGTACGCGCTGTCCTTACGCGGCTTAGAAAGTTTGCATTGTATATAAATAGAAAGAAATGTTCCTTCTAGAAGAAAGAAGTCGAATTCCTTAGGTTTATCGTTAGTACCGAAGGCGTATCGATAGATTAGCGTAGGGTAAACGCTATTAACGAGTAGCCTCGCCTATTAACGCTAAAGGAGGTTCAATCCTTCCTCGGATTCTACAACTTCTACCGGAGGTTTATCCCTAATTACTCCCGGATCGTTATACTACTAACCGCCCTATCGAAAGGAGCCGTAAATAGCCGAAAGCTAGGGCAGGTCCCGTAGGGCGAAAGCGAGGAGTAAGCGTTCCGCTAGCTAAAGGCTGCCTTTAGCTCGGCCTCGATATTGCGACACTATAATCCTACGAAGCCCCTACGTATCGAGACCGATGCCTCTACGTTTGCCTTAGTAGGAATTATATTATAATAGAGCGAAGATAGGAATTAGCACCCTATTACCTTCTAGTTACGAAAAATAGTCCTAGCCGAGACTAATTATAAGACCTATAACTAGGAGCTCTTAGCGGTTGTCGAGTCCTTTAAGCATTAGCGCCCGTACCTCGACGGCGCCTAGTATACGACCCGCGTAGTTATCGACTACGCTAATCTTAAGGGCTTTATAAAGATAAAGCAGCTTGTCGGAAGGTAGGTAAGATAGGCAACCTTCCTTATATCTTTTGACTTTACTATTGAATATCGAGCTAGTAAGCGAAACCTAGCCGATATACCTTTACGACGTAGCGACTACGAGAGCGAGTCGCAGGCGGTAAACAACCTTCTCCCTATATTATAGTCGAAACTAGCTCTATAGTTAAATCTGCCCGAGGATATCGAGCCGATTATAAAACGCATCTCTATTATATATATAGGGATGCGAGACGCTAGTATAGCGCTAGCGGAACGTAAGAGTTTTATTAGCAGTCCCGTAAGAGTAGCGGCTACTATCGTTAGGAATAACGGGCCCTACTACGAGATACCTAATATAATCCTTAGTTTCGTACGCACTTTATAATAGCTAGAGTAAGCGAGAGGAAGAGGCTTATACGAGACAAGCTCGCCGTCGGGTAGCTTAGCCTCGTTAAGTAGTTCTAACCTCCCGCCTAGCTATTCTCGTCGTAGTAACCTTATTTACTACAGCGATGCGCTATATATCCCTAAGGACTACGCATTGCGTACGTAGCTAATACGTATATACTACGACGACCCTTTAGCTAGACACTTTAGTATAGCTAAGACTATAGACCTAATACGCCGAAAGTACTTCTAGCCGAAGATAGCCGAGGACATTACGGCCTATATCCGTATCTATAGAATTTGTTAACAGTCGAAGGCGAAGCGCTATCGCCTATACGGCGAGCTCGCTACTCTACCTATACCGACCCGACCTTAGCAAGAGTTAACGATAGACTTTATTATCGATCTCCCGCCGAGTAAGCTCGGTGCCTACGTATATACTACGATCCTCGTAATAGTCGACCGCTATACGAAGATAAGCCTCTTTATCCTAACGACGAAGAAGTATATAGTAGTAGAACTCGCGGATATCCTTTAAAGGGAGGTAATTAGGCGTTTTAGAGTACTATTAGGCATTATTAGCGATCGTAGATCGCTATTTACTAGCTAGTTTTAGAGCGACTTCTACTTCGAAGCGCATATAAAGCGTAGGCTTAGTATAGCCTTCTATCCTTAGACCGATAGGTAAACCGAACGCGCGAACTAGACCCTCGAGCAATACCTGCGATGCTATTGCTCTAAGAATTAGGATAAGTAGGCTAAACTGTTGCCTTAGGCTAAGTTTACCTATAACAATAGCGTTTATCCTACGTTGCGTATAAGCCCCTTTAAGATGCTCTACGGCTTTAACCCTAATTTGATACCGAGCGCAAATAAGCTACTAGCTCGGGACGAGCTAACTAAGGGAAGGGCACTAGTAGCTATCGACGCTGCGGAGCGACTACGGAAAGCGCATAAAACGCTTACGGAACGCTAGTAGAAAGCAGCAGAATACTAGGCTAAGCAATACAATATACACTATACTACTAAGACATATAGTATAGGTAACCTAGTCTTGCTATCGACAAAGAACATTAGCTTAGATGTCCTAAAGAAGAAACTTAGCCCGAAGTATATAGGGCCTTTTTGTATTATCGACGCAGTCGGAGCGTAGGCGTACCGCCTAGCACTACTGTTAAGTACGAAGATCTACAATGTTTTCTATATTTCCCTCCTCGAGCCTTAGTATAGGCGCGATAGCGAGGAGTATAAGATAAGTATACCTATCGCTAAAGGTAACGAGTGGTAGGTAGAAACAATCGTAGCTAAGAAGATAAAGAAGCGGAAGGCGTACTACCTTATTAAGTAGCGAGGTTAGCCTAAAGAATATAATACTTAGGAGCTAGCTATTTATATTAAAGATTCTATAGCGTTAGACGAGTTCGAAGCTTAAGCGAAGCGCAAGCGTAGGCAGTAATTAAAACAAAAGAAAATAAAACTTAAGAAAAATAGTAGACACGTGCTCGTTTCGCTACTAAAAAAGGCCTATTAGCCTAATATACATATAGATAGCGCCGCGTAGGCGCGGCGACGGCGGGCCGCCTACCCTACTTATCGTTATCCTCCTCCTCGTCCTCCTCTTCGATACCTATAGCGGTATCGATAGCAGCGACGGCGTTAGCGCCGACGCGCTAAGCGAGGTTCTAGTACGGTTAGTATACGAAGCGCAAGTAAAACGAGGCTGCGGGAAAAAACTATACCTAACGACCGATCTCTACTAAACTAGCTAGGTTAGTGCCGATATGCTCGAGCGTACTAAGCAAGTTAACGTCCGTAAGGGACCCGCTAGCGGCCCCCTTACGGGCTAGGGCTTTGCCGCCTAGGGTTACCTTGTTCTTATTAGTATAAAAGACGTTAAGCGCAGATAGGATAACTAATATCGAGGTTAGTATACGGAGCGCAAGCGAAGCGCGTACGAAATATACGTACGACGATAGAGTCTAACTCGGCCTAGAGTGCCTCTAAGGCCTCGTCCGACTCCTCGACGGAGTCGTAGCCGTCTAGGTTATATAAGTCGCGCGCGGAGCGCGCGGCGCGAATGCGGGCTAGTAGCGAGACGAGGGAGCGTACTATAATAGGAGTATAGGGGTAATAGCTGCTACAGTAGCGATTATAGTTACGCTTAGTAGCTAGGTCTATATTGCCGCCTATATAAAGCTTAGTTAGGTCTACTAAAGCGAGTTAGTTGCAAAGCGCATACGCGTAGCAAGTAGCGAGAAAACGTACCGTTAGCCGTTATATGCTTAAAGCAACGGGTATAGCCCTTTAGGACTTTTAAGGGGCGCTAGGTAGGCGTAGTAGATGTCGAGGGCGGAGCGCCTACAGCGCGCTTGCCCGAGGTACGCGAAGGAGTAGCTATACTAGTAATGTTTTTTTTTAGATAGATGTTTAAAAAAGAAAAATCTTTAAGTAATGCTAGGGGGGCGTAGGAGGGGAGTAGGTAGGGGGTAGGCGGGTAGTATTCGGAGCGCTTAGAAAAAGAAGAAGTTTTCAAGCGGGCTTCGAATGCTTTAAATACTCGCCTCGCTTTCGGATAGCTTACGTTCTCGCGTAGCTACCGCGTTCTTAGAAATTTAGGCAACCTCTAGTTAGTACTAGAAGCAGCCGCGCTTTAAATCTACAAATAAACAAGCAACTACGAGGCAAATTATAACGTACCTAGCAACTATAGCCTAGCGATAGGTACGTATAAGACGCGCAAGTATAGCGTAGAGTATAAGAAATAGTATAATTTACTATATTGCCCTATAGCTAGGACAGCTATACTAGGGGAAGGAGATAATTGTAAGAACCTAAGCAAGTAAAGTCTCCTGTCCTGCCTTAGCAAGCCTATATAACAATTATGTAATGTTATTACGTACAGTACGATGCAGCCGCGCTAGCGATAAGCTTACTTAGCGTATGCGCGTAATGCTCGATTATACGTACGGATATACTCGGTAGCCGGTACGGTAGATATGCTATCCGTGCTAGGCCTAGTTAATAGTAGTCGCTCTGCCCTGTTCTAAGAAAGGTACGGTTTAGTTCTACTTTCTACTACGGCGATTAGTAGAGGGTGTTCTATACGTTGCTACATACCCATTTTCTTACAATCTATCTATCTATCTATCCTATATATTCTACTTGCCTAAGGTTTCCGTCGTTATCGTATTAATTACTTTTGCTAGCGCTAATTGCTAGAAACGCGCTTAATCGACGTATCTCGTGCTAACTAACTAACTAGCTAACTAGCTAACTAGCTAACTAGCTAACTAGCTAGCCGGCTAGCTCTAGGAAGGTCGTAGAAAGATAACTCTAGTAAGTTGTTTACTAAAGTTAACTAGATAGGCGTCCTTCTAGCTAGCTATGCTCGACCTAGGGCCTATTTAGTAGGATTCGGCCCTACTTAGGACGACGGAGCGGCCTTAGGTACAATTACATGCTAGCGTCTAGTAAATAATGTCGCTCTTGCCGTAAAGGAGCGCGTTAGTTAGTAAGGTAATGTATAGCCGTTATTGCTACCTATTGTCGACTATGTAGCTTAACCTTACCTACGTAGATAGACCTTCGCTTTCTAACTTCTACTTCTTCTTCTTCTTTACATTAACCACACTATATACCGGTATCCGTACTGCGCGTATAACTAGCGAGTATCCGCACTATGTGCGTAACTAGCGAGTTCCCCTTTGCGTAACTAGCGATAGTAAACACCTCTACCCCTAGCAATATACTAACTATCTATATACTATAGCGGCAGTGTTAATTATACCTCTTTATCGCGAGTAGAAGTGGCTCTCTACTGCGATTAACACTATTCCTTGCTAGTTCTACGACTTACTACTGATAGAGCCGCTTAGAAATAGTCGAGGTCTATTAGTAGGTAATTTGTTTAGTCCTTTAGTCTCCGATAGGCTTTGCCGAAAGGTAACTCTCCTAGCGAGTGGGTTTAGGAATTAATCGTAGTCTTAGTGTAGCTATTCTATAGTAGTATTACTATTAGGTGATTCCGTATTAGATAGTCTTCTTATCTATTACTATAACAGGCTTTCTATATTAGGCTCTTCTCGGGATACTATACGCATATCTAGTTAAGCTTAGTATAACGCAGCCTTTGCAAATTCGGCGATTAGGAGCGTACGATATCGGATATAGCCTCTAGGTAGCGAGCTGTTAATGCTATAGTTCCGCGGTACGAACAGGCGTCCTTAAGCAAGACGTCTTTATAAGGGCACTACTATACGACTATAGTAAGCGTATCGACTCTGCTAGACAACTATAGTGCGCACCCCCCCCCTTCCCTCCGAGCGTATTAAGACTATTATACACCTATAGTGCGTAAGCGCATTAAGACTGCTTTACACTAGCAGTACGCAAGAAAGAGTTGTTCTAGGGGCATATCTTTTAACAGTCTTTTTAACATTTAGGCGCGGTTCGACTATTATTCTCTAGGTAGCTTTAGTCGGTACCTAGTTTCTAACTCTTTAAGTTCGCTAGTGTTATACGCTTAATAATGCCTGTTCTATACACACTTCGGTGTTGTAGTTAGTAATAGAATGCGTTAATAGCTAGCGAGAGAGCAAGCTTATAGGCAATGTATACTTCTAGTATACTTCTTATAGTATGCTCCTAGTAGGCCCTTAAACCGCTAGTTATATTAGATCCCTATAAACGCTATTGTTTATTTTCTCTGCCTTGTATAGCAACTAAGGCCTCTAGTTTTAGAAAGAGGTAGGCAAAGGAGGGCAAGGACGTAAGAGGTCGCTTCGGCGATTCTCGAAGAGATGCTATTTATAGCGCTCGTTGCACGTTATCGCCCTACGCTTCTATTCTACCGTACATGTTATAGTGCCTACTAACTAGTATATAGTACGATAAGTATAGTATTAGCTTCTAGGCTTTGTCGGTCTTCTCGAAATAGGACTTCTCGAAATAAGGCCTTTAGTATACCTAAGGCTGCGGTCGTCGTTATCGTATTAGACACTTTTATTAGCGCTATTTGCTAGAAATGCGCTCAATCGACTCGGTCTAGCGTTATAGCGGCGGTATTGTTGTTTAGAAAGCATCGTAAATTCGAGGAAGGAGATTTAGATAGAGGAAGCCTCGATAGCCCGCTAAGGCTCGGATTTACTATAGTATAACATCTGATTGGCGGGATTAGGCCGGCTTTAAGATCGCGATTTCCTCTTACGCATCTATTAACTTTAGCTATATACCGATATCGACAAAGAATATAACAAAGAGCGTAACGGTACTAAAAACGCGAGAAATATATACTATACTATATACTATCTTAAAGGTCTACTATCTAGTCTACTATCTACCGCGAAGTCCTACTAAACAACTGCTAAATTAACGCTAAAACACGCGATTTCCGACCTACCGACAGTCTACGTATCTCTATACTATATCTACTACCTACTCGGCAGATACTACGATAGGATATTGTCGTCGATATTACTACTATAGCTACTTGCTATACTTAAGCTTCTCGTACGAGCGCCCTCGCTATATAGACCCTTAGTAGCTATAGGAATGCGAATGTTACGACTACTACGACGACTAATATAAGCCTATATTAACTGCTTAGTCGCCTCCTCTACTATAATATCGTCTTCTTCTTTAATAGATAGAGCGGCAGGGCTAGCGGTAGTAGAGGCAGATCGACTAGGGCCTAGCTAAGTACTACGGCGCGTACGCTTTCGAGCAGATAGTGCATCGGAAGGCCTAGTAGGATCGGAGACCGTAGGGCTATCGGACAGAGGGTTAGAAGGAGCCGCTATAGCAGGTATCTGCTACTAAGTTTGCTAAGCTAGGCCGTGCTATATACCGGACTAGCGTACGGTATTCGCGAAGGCAGATCGTCTTAAGGAGTTATTTAGGTTGCGCTAGTCTGCCTCTATCTGCTATAGAGTCCTATAGGTTACTAGACGTAGATCTACTAAGCTGCCTTTAGCTCCCTATTCTTCTGCCGCCTGTCTAGTAGTAGTAGCATCTTTAATAGCCTTCGTAGCAGCCTCCTACTTCGCTTTCTATTCCGCCTTATAGGCCTCCTAATTAGTATATACATCTTCGGCTATACTAATAATAGTAGCAAGCAGCTCGTCGAGATTAGTATCCTTATACTACTACTTATTCAATTCTAGTGCGACTTGTAATAGCCTATCTCTGTCGATATTTAAATCCTCCTAGGTCTCGTACGACCGAGTAAGAAGAAAGACCTCTAACATAGACTATATTAGCCTATCCTTTATATACATGCCGGCTAGTATGCGGAACAAGCGGTTCTTGCATAGGTATAGGGCATCTACTTTCTTTAAGCACTAGTCCTTAATATGCTTAAGCCTAAAGCTCGGTCTTATACCTTTACCTAGTAGGTTAACTAGCTTAACGCGCTTAGCTAGTAGTTTAGGTAGATTAGCTATTAGATCGGTGTTATAGAAGTTGCAGCAATCTCTTCTATCTACTTAGCCTAGTAGGTACGGAAACTAGGTTAAGTGTTCGCTATAGTGCTTATTTATTACTACTCGAAAGTAGCGGCCTAGTATCTTTAGGTAATCGTTTAGCGCACCTAAGAAGACCTTTAGAATGTTCTTCCGGCTCTCTAGCTTAGATTTATTCTATATATTACTCTCCTTAGATTTGCCCTTGCGGCCTCTAGAAGCACTATCTCTAGTATCGGTATTAGCGTTACTATATACATCGTCTTAGTCGCTCGTACTACTAACATCCTTACTAGGAAGCTCTTGTCGCAACCTGCTAGGTCCGGTAGTATATATATCTCTGCCTCTGCTATAAGCACCTCTGCCGCGAGTACCTCTACCGCGACCGCTACGACTACGACTACGACCGCTAGACTACGCCTATACCTATACCTATACCTACGCTAGTAGAAGGATAGAAAGCATGCTAGCGCCTTCTAGCATACGCTTAATATAGTCTCTGCTATAGTATAGGACGAAGAAGAACGCCCGAGGCCGGTAGAAGTATAGCTTATTAAAGAAGCCCTACGAATTTAGAAGCGCTAGTCGTCGAGCAATGCGTCTAAGTCGCTGCTAAAGGTCTCCTAGGTTGCGCGTAATGTTAAACTTCTACTAGTATATATCCGCGATATTAGGTATATCTAATCTAATGCTTGCTACGGTAGTAGCTACTATATATCGAATATTAGAGTCTAGCTTGTAATACTTATTATATCGATTGTCCTAGTCTAGCTTTAGCACCCTCGTAGTATAGAAGGAGATAGTACGGGTAATATTAATACCTAGACCTACGCCTAGGCTATACTAATACTTCTTAGTTAGATCCGGATTATCCTTAGTTAGATATAATAACTAGCTACGGGCGATATCGACGAAATTAGCGATATGTTTACAGCCGTTAATAAACACTAGAGACTTACGTATGTTCTATAGCGTAGCAGATCCCTTCTTAATATCCTTGTTCTCGCTATTAGGAGTTAGTAGATAGGAGACCGCATTATTAATTACTATATATAGCATGTCGTAGTTAGTAAGATGCTCTCTTAGGATAAACTTAATAATATATGTAATCTCTAGTCGATCGATGCTACTACGGATAATCTTAGTCTCGTATAGATTAGAGCCTTTATCGCGCATACCGGCATACTTTATCGCATACTTAGTGCACTCTTTATCTATAGTAGCCGATATTAATAGCGTACTAGTATCGATACGTAGGCGATTACGCATTTAACTAACTTACGAGTATTTGTTATAGAAACTAGAAGGCTCGCCCTAGTTATAGATTAGGTACGCCTTATCGATAATAAGTAGACTAATACGCTCGCGGACCTCTAGTTCGTTTAGTAACGAAAGGAATTGCGGAGATGCTGCCTATTCTAGACTAAGTAGAAGGTGCTAGACCTTGCCTTTTAGAATGTTCTTAAATATACCTAGGTCGATCTTCTTAGTGTCGGTAGAGATATATACTAAATAGACGAGGCTACTAGTATTGCTAGCTATGCGCTCGATAGCTGCTGCTTGTTCGGCACCTAAGCGGTTTAATAGAACAACTTAAATAGTAATTATACTAGTTAGTATTATAAAGCCCTAGAATAGTAAACTCTTTCCCTCGCCTATACGAGCAATAAACAGGACATTATTCTAGCTATAGATAAGTGCGTATATTACTATCTTCTACGCTAGAGTTAGTATATATTCTATACTAGGGTACTTAAAATCGAGGAGTTTAGTTAAGCCTTTCTCGATAATTTCCGCCTAGTACTAGACAGTCTCTTTAAACTAGCCTACTTGCTATACTAGTTCTTATATACGCGCGAGTAAGGTATCTAGATCCGTAATCTTCTTAATGCGTCGCTAGAAGTGCCGCGGCTAGTCTAATTTCAATTAAGGCAGCTTTATCGGCTTAATACCGAAGTCTAGACGCATACGCGTAATAGCGGAACGACCTAGCAATAGTGCTTAATATAGCTCTTAGCGCTCGAGTCGCTACTTCTTCTAGCGCGTAGCCTTCTTATTCTCGCGCTACTTACGGCGCTGCTTTTTAGATACTATACTAGATACTAGACGCTAGGTGCTAATACTAGATACTAGATACTAGATGCTAGATACTAGGTACTAGCTAGTATTCGAGTCGGCGATGTCGTTAGTTTAGCGCTAATCGAGTACTAAAGGAATAGAAAAGTTAGCAAGTAGCGGCGGTAGCGAGGTCGAATTTGAACCCTATTTTAAGGATATACAAACCTTCGGCAGAGCCTATATAATACTTAAACTTTGCAACTACGTACTACGTTTGTCGAGATTAGGCTACGGGTTGAAGTTCTAAGTGCTAGAGACTAAAGAGCTAGTTTGCCCTCTAGACTAAGTAGGCTATATAGGTTGAAATATAGAATAGATAGATACGCGGAGGTTGTAGAGGGTACTAGAAAGGTAGACCTCTAATGCTTTGTTATTACGGCAAGGTGTTATTTGTTTGAAAGTAAATTATATAGGGGTAGGTAAACGAGTTAGGCGAGACTAGTAATTTACGTTTCCTAATTATAATTCTTAAATTTATAAAGCAATAGTATTATTAGAATACGTAGTTATCTTGTTAGTATAATTATCTAGGAACCGTCTCTATTATGTGCTATACTACGAGTACTAGTTGTTACGGTATTCGAGCTATAATGCCTGCGCTAGTAGGTAGTTAGTCGAAGCTACACCCGCCCTAAACGGTTTAGCCTTAGGCGCTTCGCTAGAATAAGATCTCGAATGGCGCTAAACCTAATATAGTATAGTATAGAAATGGAAGTTACGAGCAGCACACACACGAATTCAACCACGAAGCGCCTGAATGGAGGTAGTCGTGAAAGCTGCATGTGAGGTTCCTTGCTCCGCCAAGAAACTCTCCGAACAACCACGTCTTTCATGACTACCATAGGACGACAATGCTGCTGATATTCGACTTTAGCTTTTCGCCTTGGGTTGACTCACATCGACATCAGTCTACTTGTTCCCCTTCTCTCCGCTTTGAGCACCCATACATTTCCTTGATCTTTACCCTCACTCACATTAGAATCGCGCAACCTCGTAAATGGACGACTACGACCTCCAGCAAGAGCTCGAGGCACTGGCGGGCAACGCGTATAAAACACGCGAGCAAGATGGAAACACGACCGCAGAACGAATCACTACAACCATGTCTCGATGGCAGGGACTCTTCGGTCTCTCTGCCGATGAAGCCGTGGATCGCATCATGGATCACCGGAACGACCTGATCCGTAGTCGAGTCTCCGACGACCACTGGAGCACTGTTCGAGAAGAGAAAGAGGCACTGGGCTACGATCGTGAAGCCTACGAGTACGAGATTGCTCTGCAGAAGAAGAAAGCTACACTGCCAGGCTCGGTACCCACAGCGAATGAGGAGTCTGACAACACAATCACGTATTTGGTCGAATTGACCGGTCTGCTTGACACTGTCGACAAGGTCAGAACTGCGGCAGAATTGGACACGATGCCTCCTCTGGTCAGCGGCACAAGCACGGAGGATAGCAGGGCTGTGTCCTTGTGCTGTGTTGATAGCAAAGGCAAAGCTGCTATATTGTATTGGGCCAGTACTGAAGGCGGAGGTTTCGAGCCTACCATTCTCGTGGACCCGAGATCACTCCGGTGACTCGGGGCACAATTGAGAAGTCATCGTAATATGCAGCTGACTCTTCCCACCATGACAACTCAATGTTTGTCAGAAGTAGCATCTTCTGTACAGTGTCACCCGGTCATCAGGTGTAGGCAGGGAGAGCTATGTGCTGTTCAAGCATCAAGCAAACGGCAGTTGTGCGCATGAGCACTGGACTGAGAGACATATAAGAGAATGCTGTATTCTCGCGTTAATGCTAATATCCACTAGGAACCAATTCGACACCGACCCAACAGTCCATCAAGACCTGCTCGGTCTAGCTTGACTGCCAGCTATCTGCACACCACTACCCATTTGAGATCACTCTATCACCAAGCCTTGGCCCTCAGAGCAATACCAGGCACCCATTACCGGCATTATTCAAAGGCTGATCTGTGAAGAGCATCTTCAGCAACCATGCTTTCGACACTCCTTTTGAACTTTTTACTCTTCCAGGCCAAGATCCATTCCCATCCGCTCGGCTCGAATGCGATCCCGGAGAATGGCCAATACTACAATGCAGCAAACATCAGTTCCCGTGCAGAGCCGGCTACTGGGGCCTCGAGCTCGCAGCTAGGCACTCAAGGCGCCAGCTCAAGCTCAGAGCGCCAAATACATATTGCCAATGGCAGGAAGATTTTGCAAGCAATGCAAAGCACCACCGGAGAACAGTCCAAGTATACTAACTGGGACGACCTGAAGAGCTGGGGCTGGGAGGAGTACCTCGAGATTGGGGACGATTGCGACCTCGATAGTTTCGAGCTGCCACCACAAATGTACAGCGATCTTGGCATTTCATCCGCGGAGTCCAACTGGAAGCACATCGAGCTGCAGCATTTGGATGATGTGACCAGAGACGGCAAGCATTACGGCGCCACCAGAGGCGTCTATGACACTTGGATCAATGCCAAGGATGGAGTCATTCTCACTGGTAACATCTGGGGCCCCAGAGCTTATAATGAGGTCAGTGCGAAGAATGGCTGGCCTGTTGCAGAAAACCTCCCGGACTTGCAGCACTGGTCTGACGTCCTTTTCTTAGTCTGGGACAAATATGCCAAGGGCCATGAGATCAAACATGTGCTCGTTGTGGACATCTACAACAAACAAACGAGAGGTTCCATTATGGCTGTTCCTGAGAGTCTGGACTCGAGCGGCATCGAAGCGTTCCCGCACGATTGGCCTGCGATTGCTTACAATACTCGCCTCGACAGCGGTTTGGTATTGCTTGATACTCCTATCGCGAAGGGTGTTGCTCGATTCTTGACGGAGCACAAGCAGCAGCTTGGTGTTCGGAGTATTGACTCCGTCCGACCATTTTCGAGTGAGAAAGAAGATCAAGCCGAGGTCAACCTTTACTTTCGGATTGCGCCAGTATCGGCAGTGAGAAGCAGAAGCGAGACTTCTTCCACCCATGGAAACCAGTCCGAGGGCACGAGTCACAATGCAGACGTGCATGACGGCAAATCTGTCCTGCAGCGGCGCTTCCCTCCTACCATGGTTCAGCCAGCCAGCGATCAAGACGCTGTAGCAGCTCAGCAACGCGGCTCACAACTGGTTGACTACATGCTTGGAGACGCCGAAGAGTACCAAGATGAAGGTGAGCAGGCCAGCTTTGCGCCTGTGGCCTTGGCTGAGTCTGGCTGGGTGAGGCAAAGCACGCCGGCCGCAGGAATGAGGCAAGACCTGCAGTCATACGCCAACATTCTCAATGGGCTCACTAGTGTTTCTGACGCTAAGACTGGCTCTTTGAGATTTGGTTCTAGTCGTAGTCGTGGCCAATTCCCAACATTTCTGGGCCTGATGAACAGACAGCGAGATCAAGATCCTGTGCATCTTGCGAATGCCGAGAGGATATCATGGGAACAGAAATTGCCGTATACTCCAGAGTGTGATATTAATGGCCAGCAAAGTCCAACTATGGGTATCTACAACTCCATATACGATGTCGAAAATCGGGTCATGATCATTGAGGAGGCGAGCAGCCCTGCTGCTCAAAAGCCAGACAGAGACGAGGATAACTTGCCTGACCTGAGGGATTGGTCAGATGTTGCATTCCTGGAGCTGCTCAGGCAATCTTATGTCCCTGGAACAGGCAGAAGAGCTGAACTGAGGCCTCCCCGGTGGATCCTACACCCTGCAGTCTCGTCGCCGCTGCGTACCTTGAGTTTGATCAGTTACTGTCTGAGACGAGCCGGAACACAGCATGTTCTGCCATGGCCAGGCACAACCTTTCCCCTTGGCACTCGATGCTTCGACATGCTTCTAGCCACTGAGATGGGCGAGCAATTATCTCTCTTCTTCATCACGCACAAGGACCGATTCAACAGGCGGGGCAGAGTTGTCTTGTCTTCCGTCACCGTATTCCTTCGGGAAGGTGATGTCGAAGGAGAATCCGGCATCGAACAGCCAACTCTTCTGTGGAACGTCATGCCTAATCGCCAACAGGCTGTCGTGATGCGCAATGCCAACCGGCAGGCCGACATTGCGAACACCCCTCTACCATACTTACTCCTCCCGATGACCAAACCCCATCAGAACCGGGAACCCAACATCATCGCAAACGTCGAATGGGTTGATCCTGCATTGACAGGATCTCAGCGAGCCACTGCACTCAGAGCCTTGGATAATCCTCAGTACGACGGCTCACGACTTTCTCGTCGTCCATCAGCTCAGTCCCCGCAGGCTCCTCAGTCCCCCCAAGCTCCGCAGGCTCCGCAACGTCCAGCGCAACCCGGTCCTCCTAACCGTCAGCCCGGACCTTCCAACCCTCAGCCTCAGTTGAGCGCTGCGCAGATCCTAGCGCAGCAGACTCAGAATGCTTATTACCGACTCAGGAACCAAGGACGTACTCGAGATCAAGCTATACAGGCTCTGATGAACAGTCTCGCGCAAAAGTATCCAAACATGAGTCAGACGCGGCTACGGGAATCTGTTCATAATAGTTTGTTGTATCCGTTGCCGAATCAGCCGGCTTCGAATCAATGAATTGGATTAGTGGTTTAGAGGAGTTGATTGGAGGAGTTTGTCCTTGTTAGCTGTATATGTACTGCCTTAGAAGCTATTTGGACTTTCTTGTTTTATAATTCTAACAATTTGGATAAACGAGAGAGGATAGTAAATTTTCACGCGTTAAGTCTTAAATAATTATAGACTTCGATAGCAATTTGTATTAAAATCTAAGAGCCTTTTCGCTAATCTTACCGTTAGCCTTATATTAAGCAAGTAAGTAAGTAGTATTATAAGTAGAAGGAATTAATGCCGACGCTATACGGTTAAGGTAGCCTCTAAAGTGTCTATAGGAGGCGTTTCTATACTCGATATAGAGATATACTCTTAACTCTCCTTAACTATTATTAAAATCGAGTAGCTAAGGCTATCTAACCTCTATATCCTATTCTCCTACTATATAATCTTATCCCCTAGTACCTATACTATAAGGAAGTAGTATATAGGGAGTATTAATACGAGTAAATAGTAGTCTTAGCATTTAACGATATCGCCTAAGGAACGAGCGATTCTCGAGGTAGGAATAGGCGCCTTATCCTATAGTACTAAGAGTTAGGTAACTCGGGGTTACTAGCGAGGCACCTCTAGGGTGCCTTATAGGTACCTAGCAAGGGTCTCGGCGGTATAGAAGGGTATTCCCTTATAGTATCCCCTCCCTCTTAATAGCCTATTCTTAGGTTATATATTTTTCCCGCGCCGCTACCTCCTCTACTACTTACGCTTTCCCGCGCCGCTACTAGGTTAGTATAGCGATACGCGGTCTAGTAGTAGAAATATTACTATAGAACGTCGATAGTAGGATAGAGGTACCTCTAAGGTGCCTCTATATAGAGCTTACATTCCGAGAAGAGTAGGGCGCTAGGGAGTAGTCCTATATAGACCTTCGCCCTACTTCTAGTAGAAACCTCTAGTATCGACGGCAAGCGCTAAACGACTAAAGAGCTATTCGCTAAGGCATAGTCGCTGCCGTATATATAGGTATCCGCTCGGCGGTTACGCTTATTAGACTTAGCCTTAGAACGTACTATTTGTTCCTATTACCTTTAAGGTAGGGTTACGGTGCCTTTACGGTACTTGCTCCTTTACTTAGGGAACTTTTATATACGGGGTTTATTTACTACTAGGAATTAGATAATCGCGTATTTTTCTTCTACTCTCTCCTTCTCCTAATTTCGCCCTCGATATCTACTAAACACTATAGTTTCCCTAGGAAATATAAAGAGTGCTTATACGCTAAAGCGTAGAAGTAGTCGAGGTCGGTACGCTTAGTTTTTACTAGGGATAACGATTAATAAGGGTATGTTTATTACGCTAACCCTTTACGTTACCTACGTTATACACGCTTTACTCGCGACCTCTTAGAGTTACCGCCGAGGTGCCTATAAGGTGCTAGAAGCGTCTATATGCGAAGTAAGTATAGGTCGCTAGGGTTAAAAGCGCGCGTTTCGTTAAACAACCTTCTTCTTCTTTTTATTAATACTAACTAGTATTAGATCGCCCGCTCGATACTACTCCGCTCCGATACACTTCTCCTAGTCCCTTAAACACTAAGGCTAACACCTCTTAAGCACTACTATTACCGCTATTGTTATAAGAGCTAACTCTCGCTAACCCTTTTATTATAGCTTTAGGTTCTAGTAGTAGTAGCGGTTACAACTTTACTCCTATTAATTAAGGTAGTAGCGGTATACCGCGTAGTGCTTCGGACAACTCGTTTACGTACGCTTAGAAGACCTTAGGTCGCGGCAGCCCCTTAGAGCACTATAACGATAGCCGCCTCTATATCGATAGCGAGGCTAATACCCCTTCTAAGGACGTCCTATTTAACTTCTATAGAGTAAGTCCGGTTCTCGAACCTCGCCTAGAGCTTCGTACTAGCTACGCTATCTGCCTCGAGTGCGTCCGTAGGAGCTAGAATATCGGTACGAATAAGATAACTATCGGTAAGCAGCTCTCTATACTAGATAGCTACGAGTTTAAGGAAGATATAAAGTGCGGCCGATATAGACTTATATAGGGCTAGGGTTGCAAGCCTATAAGTGTTACCTGCGAGGCGCCTTAGAGGCACCCGCTAATCCGCTATATAGATCCCTCCTATAATATAGCGTATAGCTAATTTTCTCGAGTACCTCCGTCGCCGTGCTAAGATAAGTATTAATAACTACGGCGCTCTTTATTAAGACACCCTTCGCCGTAAGGCGGATTAGCGCAACTACGCCGATAAGATGTAAGTAGGCTATAACCGTATCCGCCTTCGCCTAAAGAACGACAATCTCCTTAACTACGAACCCTCTAGCTAGGATTAGTCGAATTACGATAACTAGCTAAAGGCTAACTATTAGGCGGCTTAGGAGGCTTTCTCGAAGAGACGCTTAGTCGATCTAACCGCCGAAGGTTAGAATATAACTATCGATAGGGAGATAGAGCAGTAGTACTTTAAGGCGATTAGTAAGGAGCATCTTAGTACGAAGTTTTAGCGTCTAATCTTCCTTAGCCGTAAAGTCCGCTAAGGGATTTTCGAGAGGCATTAGAGGTACCTACGAGGGGCTTAGGTTAAGTAGGTAGGGTATAGAGTATTGTTTTTATAAATTTTCGAGCGAGAATATACGCGACTCGAGAATACCTTAAGTACGCTTAGCGTATAGGTAGAGATAGGAAGGTTCTACGAACGGGTATGCTTTTAATACTATTATCCTAAATAAGAAGAGGATACTTTAGATAGCTAGGAAATTAATAACGGTCGCCCGGTAATATTAATAACTTCTATAAAGTTTATCTACTAGTACTATCTTAATTTGCCCTTAGTCGGAGACTAGGCCGACGAGAAGAAGATGCTTTAGTCGTCGGTAGGGTCTTATAAGCCCTCTTAGAGGGCCTCCGAGGTACCTCTATAGTGCTTTAGGTACCGGCGGCGTTTCTAATCTTCTCCTTATACTCTACGAGTAGATTTAGAGAATAAGCTAACTACTCTTCTATTATCTAATCGTCCTATTCGGGCGAATACCCCTTCTATCTAACCTTAAACTTCTTATTCTTTCCTCTTCCTTTATAAGCGACGATCTCCTCGACCTTATATTCTTCCTCTAATCTATCCTCCTTAATATCGTCGATAGGGGGTAGCTAGTAGCCTTTACGAGCGTTATATCCTTCTAGTAGCGATATATAGAATACCGGGTATAAGCGCTTTATCGACGGAGGTAGGTTAAGCTTATAAGCCTAGCTTCCGAAGCGCTTTATAATAGCAAAAGGTCCAAGATATTTATTGTCGAGCTTACAGTAAGGACGCTTCGTACGAATGTTCTTTACCGACAATAGGACTTAATTACTAATAGCGAAGTGCTTGTCCTTCGTTAATCTATCGTAGTAGCGTTATTATAGCTCCTAAGTATACTAGAGCGAGGAGCGAGCTTCTTCGAAGTCTTTTAGTCTACCGGATAGGAACGTATACGCTTCTTCTGCGAGCTTCTTAGTCCTCGGCGGTACTAGCGAGGTACTATCGAGGTACCCTAGAGGTAGGTGCTCCCTACTCGATACGATCTTAATACTGTTAGGAAGGTTCGGTTTAATACCGAAGGCAACCTTAATTAGAGATTTGCTACTAAGTCTATTATACGGCTTGCTATTATAAGCAAACGTAGTAGTATATAGCAACCGAGCCTAATCGTCTTAGTCCTAATTATAGTAGATACGAAGATAGTTCTTAAGCTACTAGTTTATACGCTCGGTCTAACTATCGGTCTAAGGATAAAAAGCAGTACTAAGACGGCGTTTAATAGCGAGATAGTAACAGAAAGTACTCTAGTAAGTACTAGTAAAGATTGATCCCCGATTAGAAACCAACTTATTAGGAGCTCCGGTATTATAGACGACCTTATTAAAGAAAAGCTCTACTAGTGCAACCGCGTTAATGTCCTTTATAACAGGGAAGTAACGTACTATTTTAGAGAATCGATCGATAATAACTAAGACGGAATTATGTATACGACCTCTAAACCTAATAGAAGGCGGCAACCTAGTAATAAAGTCTATAAAGAGGTACCTCTAGGGCACCTTAGGGACCTCTAGCGAGCGCAGCCGACTATAAGGCTTATAGTGTTTAGTTTTCGTTCTTTAATAGACATCGCATTAGGAGACGTATTTAGATACTTCTTTAGTAATCCTAGGCTAACAGTACTTAGCGGCGATAATATATTAAGTTCGTGCGGTACTATAGTACCTAGCGATAGGATTATCGTAATTCCGTCGAAGGATCTCTTACTTAAGAGGTATAAAGCTAGGAATATACACTTTTCTATTGCAATAAAGAAGGTTATTATTATCGAATTCCTAGTATCCTTCTAGCCGAGGGCGCTAAGGTGCCTTTAAGGTACCTAGGAGGGGCTCTATTAGTATCTTATCTATACCGCTTCCGGCCGCCTACGTAGCTCTAGTTCGGATGTCTTCTATAAAAGCGTCCTTTTACTAAGCTTCTCGAATAAGGTCTATAAGGGACGCCGGTAGCTCGATAGCGTACGCCGTTTTACTATCTACTACCGTAGTAATAAGATAGCGAGGTATTAAGAGGTTACGGTTCTTAGTACTAGCCGTCGGTCCTGCCTTAGTAAGGTATAGTCCGACGACATTGTCGAAAGCGTAGTTATCTAAGTCCTCGTTCTCTTCTTAGAGGTAGAGGCTTGCTATCGTTAAATAATCTATTTAACTACCCTCGGGCGAGTCCGTAGGAGAGGACTATTCTACCGATACGGTCGCGAGGGGCCCGCGAGGTGCCTCTACGGTAGGCCGCGGGTCCCGGGTAACTTCTAACTAACGCTTAAGGCTAGGCAAGAGGTCCCTTAGCTCTCTACGTTTAGTATTGTCCTTAAATCTGTTAAAGTAGTTAGGACGGCGGGAGAGACCGTCCGATAGATTAGATATTCCCTTCTTATACTCGATCGTAAAGTTATAAGCGGCAAGGCGTTTAGCAATATAGGCTTAACGGC